AAGAGGTAGAGAGAACATACCAGTCAAATTCGTCTTCACGTACCTCCCAGTTTACCTAGGAAGGTGCAACCTGAGAGCATCCCCTCGAACCGTCCCAAAGGTGCACGGTTCCATGCACTGCTGCTCTGCAGGTTGTCTTCTTCAACTTTCCACATGCGGCAAATCATGAGAGGCTAACGCTGCACACAGGAAGCTAGCTGGTGGCCCTGAAAATTCCATCTGCAGTTTTTAAAAAAAATTCACTGGCCCTGGCCAGTTTGCCTCAGCATCATTATAAATATGGATTCAGTGAATTTTAGAGCATTAGCCCATGGACCAGAGAGTCCCGGGTTCGGTTCCTGCTAAGGGCACCTACCTCGGTTGCAGTTTGTCCCAGGCCCCGGTTGGAGTCATGTGGGTGGCAACCACTCAATGTGTCTCTCTCACATCAATGTTTCTCTCTCTCTCTCTTCCTCCCTCTCTCCCTCCTGCTCTATCTGAAGATAAATGCAAAATCTGTACTCGGGTGAGGATAAAAAAAAAAAAAATTTACTGAATCCGCATTTATAATGATGCAGACAGCAAAGGAGGCCCCTGTGACCAGAAAGGTAATAAAAGCTGATGCTTCTTAAAATAGCCACGGTCTTGCCCTGGCCGGTTTGGCTCAGCGGTTGGAGCGTCAGCCTGCGGTCCACAGAGACCTGGGTTTGGTTCCCGCTAGGGGCGCGTGCCTTGGCTGCAGTTTGTCCCCGGCCCTGGTTAGGTTGTGTGGGTGGCAGCCACTCGATGTGTCCCTTTCACATCGATGTTTCTCTCTCTTCCTCTCTCTCCTTCCCACTCTATCTGAGTAAAAAAATGGAAAAATGTCCTCGGATGAGGATAAAACAAACAAACAAACAAAAAAAAAAATAGCCACGGTCTTGATTTAAAAGGCAACTCTAGGATAACATCAGAAGGAAGGAGAAAAAGACTGTAGCTTCTTGGAATTTCAATAGCATGGAAAAGGGATTGTGGGCACACAGGTGAACATCTGCTCTGCCTTTTAGGACAGCAAGTTTCGACATCTCAGCTGTGAGACTACTGCTGAAAACCTGGAGGGCTCTTCAGCACAGAGGAAATTCTCTGTGGGCCATCGTGAGCAGAACCCGAGAAAGAAAAAGGCCTTCACCCAAATACTAATGTGTGCACACAGGGAGGGGCAAAGTAGGCTTACAGTTGTGAGTACGCAAAACACAGAGTTTATTCTTCTATTATTATTTATTAATTACTGTATTATTTATTTGTATTAAACTGCAAACCTATTTTGCCCCGCCCTGCATATAACGGGAGCTCTTTTCAAAGCGCAAATGTGAGCTGTAAGAGAAAGACAAATAAAAATAAAACTAGAAATGAATTTTAAGAAGCATCTATGAAGGGTACAGTGAGCAGAGGCTGCAAGGGCCAGAAACAATAAAATAAGGCAGTGTCGGCTGTGCTCAAGGCGACAAGAAATGACAAAGAGAACAGAATAACAGTTTGGGGGAAGGAAGCTTAGCGTTCACAGAACAGCGAAGAAGGGGCCTGACTCAAGATGAAAGCAGGCTTTCATCTCTCTTAGTAAAGAAACGGCCTCCACACTGGTCAGGGCAGAGAAAGAGCATGAAGATGAAGCAGGGGAGGGACGGGACTCCCACTTTCAGTGATTTCCGACCCTTTCAGGGCACTGAAGGAAGGAACTGACATGCCCCCCCACCCTTTTTAAAGGCAAAGCGTCTTTTTTTCTTTCTTTTTAAATCCTCACCCAAGGACATGTTTATTGATTTTAGAGAGAAAGGGAGACAGAGAGGGGGGAGGGGTGGGGGGGGGGGAGAGAGAGAGAGGGAGAGAGAGAGAAAGAGAAACATCAGTGTGAGAGAGAAACGTTGATCGGTTGCCTCCTGTACCCACCCTGACTAGGATTGAACTCAAAACCTAGGTATGTGCCCCGGCCAGGAATTGAACCCACAACCTTTTTGGTTTATGGGACTAAACTCCAATCAACTGAGCTACCTGTCCAGGGAAGGTCCCTTTTTGATTCCATGTGGACAGAGGTGGCATTCTTGTGACCACAACAGTTCCTCTGTAATCTGTATGGTGTGTGGTATGCACACACTGCTGTCTTGTTTAATCTTCTGGGATTCTCAACACTCTTGTGAGATACACAAGACTACCACCACTGCCCTCATTAGACACTGGGACTCAGGATTTCAGTGAGTTGTCCAAAGTCACAGAGCACCTGGTGCCCTGGCCAGTTTGGCTCAGCGGTTGGAGTGTCGGCCTGCGGACCAGAAAGTCCTGGGTTCGGTTCCTGCTAGGGGCACATACCAAAAAAAATAAAAATAAAAAAATAACAAAACAGAGCCCCAGGGAACAAAGGCAGCCCTGGATGCAGCGAAGTGACGCTGGCCCAGTACTCTCACCACCAACCAGTGTGCCTTCTCGCCACATCTTCAGCAGAGCAGTCAAAACAATCCAAGCTATGGAATATTAGTGACATCGGTATTAAGTGCATTTGTAGCAAGATGAGTACTGTTAACCAGCAAGTGCTAGTTAAACATCTACCTAATGGGCATACTCTCAGGCTGTTCAATTCTGAAATCCCAGTGAATCTCCAGACCATCCCTAGGAGGGAGTTACAGGTGAGGACCTGAGGTTCCTAGCATTAAGTAACTTGCCTGGGGTCACCAGGGTCTGGGGCAACAGAGGTTTAAAAGTATTGGAATCTACCCTGGCTGGTCTGGCTCAGTGGTTAAAGCACCCATGGACCAAAGCATCTCGGGTTTGACTCCAGTCAAGGGCATGTACGTTGGTTGCGGTTCTGTCCCCAACCCTGGTCGGGGTTGTGTGGGAGGCAACCAATCAATGTGTCTCTCTCACATTGATGTTTCTCTCTCTCACCCTCCCTCCTTACCTCGCTCTCACTCTCTTGGAAGATAAATGGAAAAATATCCTCAGATGAGGATTAAAAAAAAAAAAGTATTGGAATCGATTCTAGCTCCAAACTCCCTACTCTTTTCATGGTAACTGGTTGCTCCCCTAAATGTTTATCATGGAAGGTATGGTTAACCCAAATACAGTAGGTTAAAGGCAATGGCTTTCCTGAGTCCCGAGAAGTTTAATGTTCCAAATGCATTTCCATAGCATGGCCTGTGATCGTGCTAACAAGAGCCGAGCCACTTCTCTCATTACCTAGCTCTAAGTCTTACAGGAGGAAGTACAGAGGGCCTGAGCACAGCAGGGGTGAGAGTAGGGGTAAGTAGACACCAAAATAAATGTTATCTGAATTCACTGTGATTGTTAAGGAGGCTCCAAGATGACCACAGTCCCTGGGGCAAGTGTACTCTCCAATGGGAACAGGCCAGGGGACAGCGAGGGCGGAAGCCAGGGGAAGACAGACGCATGAGGAAATGAAACCTTCGTTTATCATCTCTAGGACCTGCCTCCTGTACAGTCACTAGTTCGGGCTTCAGAGGGAACAAAGAAGGCTACTTCCATACAGAGAGAACCGAAGGCCCTTGGGCTAAGTTTACTGCAACAGCAGCCTGAATGTCATGGAGTCTGGTGTTTCAGACACGCGAGTGTTCAGGCACAGGCAAGTCCACCAGGCATAGTCGGGAGAAGCCTTTAAGTAGCACCGTTTATCAATTTCACAAAGGTTTCTCAAGCACCTACTACTGCATCTACGCCTCAAGCAGCGGGCGGGTGGGGAGCACTGGGAATGGAGGTGAGAGAGGCACCTGCCTCTTCGGGGAGCTTGTGCCCTGGAGGAGGGTCCCTGCTACCAAAGGGCAGGCTCAGGATGCCTGGGTGCTTGAAAACCAGGAGTGGAGTTGAATCCTTATCTCCACTCTGAGTCTCTATTAATTCAAAAAGTGTTTCAAAATTCTGAATAGAATTATTTTATTCATCTTAATTAGAAAACTTACTTTTAAGGAGCCCGGTAATGTAGCAAATTGATTATTTTAAGCACTAGCTTTTATAATTTTTGATTAGATATATGTCTTAATAAAAATATAAGCTTGCTGAATATTAAAAAAAAAATCCATGACCAAATGAAATTTTTACCCCCTAAGAAACTTAGGTTTGCTACACAAAATTAGTCAAATTGACTGTAGAGAGCGCAGGTGAAATTTCATAACAGAACATATTTAGTCCTTTATTTATCCAGTCAGTGTACCACCGAGAATACCCCTTGCTGGAAGCATAGCCTCTGTACATTCGCACAGGGATGTGTCCAAGACTTGGTGCTAGTCTCCTACTTGCTCTTTTTACTCTATTAACACAGGTCCCTGATTAACACCTTCTACCTTCCATCCCCCAAACTTCCAAATAGTGGCAGAGCTGAGATTTAAGGGATTTAAACCTATGCCTGTCTGCAAAACCAACTGAGCATACCAACTCCTCAAATCTACCTCGTGTCCCCCCTGAGATCAGAAGTAGAAAATCTGAACACCTCCAGTGGCCAGGCAGGTGACACCACTGAGCAGAGGGAGGAAAGGCACGTGTGTGTATGGTGTGAGCAGCAGAACCACAGGGAGTTGCAGGGGGGACTGGAGCTGACAGCAGTTATTTGGTTCAATGATTGCTCCCGTGTGTGATCTTGCAATTTTAAGAGAAACCGGAACTTCAGAATGTTATGTATACTCTTGAACATCAATATTAAACGTTAGCCCAAGTTTGTTTTAAGAGCACCACACAGGTCAACTGGGTCAGCAGCTCTCGACCTTTGCTAATGCACTGTTGGCATCATCTTGTGCACAGCACTGGTGTGGTATGCTAAATTCTGCAGTTATTTTCATAAGTGTAACATCACCCTGGGGACAAGTGAGGCAGAGGGTTCATTAACGCCTCAAATACCAAGGGTACTCTCTTTTTCAGGCAGCCTAGGTGGACTTGAGGACTCCTGCCATGTAAGGCAGAGCTGCTCACTTATGAGCACAAGGTGCTTGTCTTTCCAGGCACCCAGAGAACAAACTGCAGCTTCGCCCTGAGTGGTTGCTTACCCGTTTGTCAATGTCATTGTGTTGGAGCTGCACAAAGCGAGCGCTGATGGCTGCAATGTAACTCTGCTGATTGGAGAATGCCACGCGGCCAGCACCTTTGGGGTACTTCAGCTCCGGGTCCGTATCGATGCCAGCATAGCAGACACCACCATACAAACGGTCCATGATCATTGCCAGTTCAACTGCAAGAAAATAATCCCAATTCTGTATAAATGTTTAGAAGGAAGAACTATTTAAGGATCATGCAGTGTACTTAAGAAAAGGAAAACCCATGTTAAGTATCACGAAGAGTATCCACATCAGTCTTACAACTTAAGTAGGGGAGATCGTCACAGGATATTTGGGGGGGGGGGGAGAATTTAAACACACACACACACGAATTTACATAATCAGAACATCAGCAACAGTATTAATGGAATGATCTATCAGCAATCCTCTTGGTCTAATTTTTAACTGCATAGTCTACTGGAGAGGGGCTTGGGTAGTCAAAGTATTTCATGGTGCTCTGACAAGTTAATAAGAAGCAGCCCTACTTACTGATCTCTAAGACTAAAAACAACTACTAAAGTTACACTGCTATGTTTAAAATTAAGCTATAGAAAGAATTAAGTCATCACTGTAGCTAGAGGCAATATACTTACAGACTTAAAGTAAACCTCTACACTTGAAAAATAGGACTTTTAGAGTATATTTTATCCCAACTAAGAACTCTCCACACTAACCTCTCACAGTAAATTCTAAGTAATACTAGTAATGATAACAGCAGCAATGAACATTTATTGAGCACTTACAATGTGCCAGGAAACACAAAGCTGCTACAAAGGCAGTAAAAACATCCCCATCCTGCACCTGCTATAAATCCAGAGGTCTGGTCTGCAGTCCTTGTCACATTTTTCCTAAATATACCTTTATATTGCTCTATTTACAAAATACCTTTTGTACAGAAAGCATTTGGAAATTAGTCCATTCCAAAAGTTTGATATTCTAAAATTATCCTCACCATGAAGGTACCATGAAGAGAAATGTAGCAGTTACTTACCTGGATCCAAATTGCCTGAAGGTAATTGTTTACTTGATACTGGACGGCACCTCCTCCAGGTATGACCATTCCTTTCAGGCCACTCACATGGTTTAAGTCCAAAAGACTTAGCCCTAACCCTGGAGAGTGACTCAAGAACACACTTCCCTCAAACACCTACATGTGGTATTTGGAAAGGAGAAGACAGTGAGGATGGATGATGACCTGGGCCATAGCCAGTGGGCAAAGACCGTCACGGAGTAGAGCCCCATAGGAATCAGGACCTGGGGAGAAGGACAGCAGCACAACCCAGAGGGGCAGAGGAAGACATGTGCAGCAGGTCCGAGGGCTGAATGGGATGAGACCCCACCAGACTTTTACAAGCAGAAGGAAAGCCAAGTACCCCTGGGTTCCTGTGATCTGAAGCTGCTGAGGCAGCTAGAAAAGCTGTTGCCATGACAGAAAGGCTGCCTTTTCACTTAACTTCAAAATTTCTCCCCATACCAGAGCACCTAATATTGGTGACTTTTCTAAGGGCCTATTTTTAATAGGAAGAATGACCTGCAACCAAGATAACTTTCAGAAGGTGAAGAAAGAAGCTAGCAATCACTAAGCCCAAGAATATGTGCTGTTAAAGACAGAAGAGCAGAAAGCTATCCCAGTGATCCCATTAAGATCAGAATTACTGAGTCATATCAGCCAAGGGAACACTGCTGATTGGCACTCAAGTAGACTCTGATTGCAGGATCCCAGAATCACACTCACTGCAACCATGCAGCAAACCCTGAATGTCAGAGTTCAGGGGGTCCTTACCCTTCATTCCAACAACCTTTGATGGCCAGAGGATCTCCTCACCTGGCTAATGTTATTCCAGTTACAGACACCAAGAAACTGAAGGTAGAATCAATTAAATGTGGTCATTAACCAATTTCCCTTATTGGTTAAATGGGCTTAGTAAAACAAGTAACCTTAGGGCCTGGAAATTAAACACCAGTTTTCCAAAGACCTGGCTTCCTCTGGAATGGAGTAAGATAGTAAACACTCCTTCAGTCTGACGAATGACTAGGAGAAGAATGCTGGCAAGGGACCGCATGGCACTTGTCTTCCACCCTTAGGAAGCACTCAAGAGAGTGTCTAGTGTCTGATTTAAAAAGGAGGAATACTGGCTGTAAGCCTGCAGCTCTAGCTCATGAGGAGTTACTGTAACCACAGGTTCTACAGCATAGTGGCCTCCAAAGGAATCTTGGGAGGTCCCGGACGCCAGAGAAGGCGCCTTCCACGAGAACAAACTTCTCATTACTTTGCAAATCTAGCTGCTGGGAAATCATTTTTGCATGCCAAAGATTAGGTCATGACTTATGTTTCTGGCAATTAAGTATTTCTGATAGGAAGCAGAAACCCTCCTCACTTATGCTTTTATGAAAAGTAATTATAAATAAAACATTTCCACTTATAAGCTTATTATATACAGTCATGTTCTTGGCCACCAAAAAGTCTGCAGATATTTGAGCCAAGGAAGTCTCACTTCAGTGAAGGGTAATTCGTTGAGAAGCTAGAAACAATCAACGTGAGTAAAGAAAGAGCTTTTGGGGTGAAGAGTGTGAAGATTTCCCATCTTTCTTTCTACGGTAATCTCTATTTTAAATACAAAAGGTCTATAACCATGATCATCCTTGAAGAAAGATAAATGATGGTCAAAGAACTGTTGTTGGTATTTGGTCCTTGACTCAATCAGCAAGTTTTCACCAAAAGCACACTTTCTGCAGGCAAAACTCAAACACTAGAGGGATGTCATTTAAGTACTAAGCAGAGATTCTAATGAAACTGGTACTTAAATGACATTATTGAGAAAAGTAACTAGTTGGTAAATACAGCTTTAGGGAAAAAATGTAACTGAATTCACCCACTTGGTAGATGACTAACAGAAACACAGAGCAAGGTACTATAAATTTTCAATCTGAAATATTTTTATAAAGAAGATGCAAATTCTCCTACAGTTGTCAGAATGTACAATTACTTATTTTTTTTTATCCTCACCCGAGGACATTTTTTTTTTTTTTTTTGCATTTATCTTGAGACAGAGCGGGGGGGAGAGAGGAAGGAAGAGAAAAACATCGATGTGAAAGAAACACATTGAGTGGTCATCACCCACATGACCCCAACTGGGGCCAGAGACAAACTGCAATCGAGGTACGTGCCCTTAGCAGGAATCGAACCTGGGCCCCTCTGGTCCGCAAGCCAATGCTCTAACCACTGAGCAAACTGGTCAGGGCTGTACAACTACTTTTGGAAACTAGGTTTTAAAGGCTTCTTTATAGTGAATATGATATGTTAATGCAGGAAAGTCAAATAAATTCCCTTCCTCTGAGGGGGGCAAGCTGAGCCAAGAAGAGGGCTACCATGTTGACTACTTGGGAGGAGAGAACAGTAGAAGAAAGGCAGTAAGGATGTAGCAGAAGTCAATTAAAATCTTCATGGGTTTATCTTTATCTTGTGATCTCAACCCTACTCATGAAATGTGAGCCGTTGATCCAAGATGTATTTTATCTGGAAATGCAGTCCAACCACCTACTAAGCCTGTGACAGTGACCCCTCATTCTAAACCATCCTCTGAAGAGCAAGGACAGTGTAGCTCCCAGAATCACACTGTTTACATTAATGTGAGGAAGGTGAGGCTACCAGAGCAGGCATAAAGGTGAAGGCTTGGATTCAAACAGATGGAGGAGACAGCAGGTACAGACAGAGTCCATGAAGAAGTCAGAATTCTCCAAACAAGGTTTAATTTTTTCCTTCCTGTCCAGACTGTTCACAGGGTGTGTCTGGTCACCAGAGGAGTGGGAAATGAGCAGGTTTGGTAGCTATATCCAAGGGCATTCTGCACTTTGGATAAACTCTGTGCTCCTAAGACAACTCAAAACATGTCATAAACACCTATTCCATGATAAACAGCAGCACTACTATGAGTCTAAGTCACACACTGGAGAGAGAGACAACAATACTGCAATTGAATGTAGCATATAGCAGTCCCATGAATTTCTCCTGGTTGTTGTGACTATGCCTCTATAGTTGAATCTGAACCCCAATTACGTTTCCTTGGATTTGCTCCTGGTTCTTTGCAGAGATCTGAAAAGGACTTTAGTTCACCAGAGAGGAAATCGTGATGACTCCCTCATCCTGCTCCTTGCCCCCAGGTCCTGTTCCTGTCATTTAGTTAGATTTCAAAGTCAGCCGTAAGGCAATGTTTAAGTCTGAGATACTATGGAGAACCAAATGGAGTAGAGAAGAAATGAGGATTCCCAAGGGAAATATCAACACGTTCATCTTTCCAGATTCTAAATTGTGAATCTAGAAGCCACATTTCTTATTTTTGGAAATAAGAACAAAGCAGACAGGAAAGAGGCAGACAGAGGCGCCTCGGGATGATGGTGAGGTCTGGAATTCTGAAAGAAAGGAAGATTCAACTTGAAGGTGGACTTCCTAGGACTACCATTGCCAAGTTGGTTCACAAGGGCAGTTTATGCATCTCAAGTTGGGGAAATGTGCTCATAAACTTCCACTCTGCATCAGATGTTGTGAAGTTAAGAATATTTTCAAATAAATGGTTATGAACAACCAAGTCAGAGAGGTAGAGTGTTTAAGTTGATTAAATCAAACTGATACCAAGTTAACTGTTAACTACTGTTACAGAGACCCCACCTCAGATCTCAGCAAGCTTGATAAAGAAGCTCTCTTCTGTGCAAAGAGCCCCAAACTTGATGTCTGCAGATCTGAGTTTGAGTCTTGGCTTTTTTACTTATTGTGGCCTTGGCTACTCACCCCTTTGAACTCTGCTTCCTTATCTCTACTTGAATTCTACCACTTACAACTTCACAGGGTTACCACAAGGATTAAGCATACACAGGAGCTCTGAACACAGAGTGGTGCTCGAGCATTTAGTTTTGTCCAGGGGTTGTTTTGCTTCCACTCGTAAATCTTTGCTTAACGTTAACTTGGCTTGGTTTCTGCTCTACGAGCACCACTTCATCCCGGTCTTACTTTGGCTTTATGCTCAAGTTACTCAGCCTGCCCCTGATATGGCAAAGCTTAACATCAGCTATGGGAGAGAGAACACAAACACACACACTAACATTAGAAAATCCTTAACCCTTAGGGCAAAGCCGTTAATCAAGTCAGTATGCCAAATCTGGAGTTTATCTGGGACAACTCGTACTGAACTTGGGGCTTGGTAAAAGAAAAGGCTTCTACTACTGAGAAACTTGATATAAGATGATTTCTGCCTGCTGCCACCTAGTAGAACAACCACCAAAAAGGCTATGGTTACAACACTCCTGTTTCCTGACTCACAAATCAGGATGTGATTCCTAATACATGTGAACTACCAGAACGCCTGTACAGAATGTTTGATATAAATGCTCTTAGGAAGATTCAGGATGTATGTTCTCTAGATGTAATACAGCACTGGATATTTACCTCAGTTTTTTTCCTCTACAGAAAAGTCATCCTCGCCACAGTCAGAGGGGTAAAAAAGGCAGAGAAGGAAGTTTCAGGATTCATCACAGAGTATCAGTAAGGGAGAAAAAGACAGGAAAGAATATTCAAAGCAATAGTTAGGAGAGACCCAGGGAAGACGAGCAAATGGTAGGCAGGCTCCAGGGATTCAGATGAGAAACCTCTCCAGACTGACTGGTCAGCAGGACCTGGACTGATAAACCGTCAGAAGGAAGTCGTGAAGTGGAAGAACGCCCATGCGCCTCTAATCAGAAAGGCGACTGAGGGTTTCTCACCCCTGATCAAAGCCTGATCACTGAGGCAGTACTCAGATCAGATGCCTACGCCAAGAAGCTGGAGTCAGAGAACATTCATGTTTATAAACTGGGGACAGTATAAGGACCAGATGCTTCATTCTCGACGTCGGCCTCCTCCTCATTCCCACGCCTGGCACTTATTTCCTCTCAGAGCAGAGACATCCTGGAGAGGCCCTCGTGCCACTGGGACGTGCGTGAGGGCCATTTCTGTACTGAGTGGGATTCAGGAAGACACGCTGCTGACATGACTCGAATGAAGAGTGAAAACGCTGTCGTACTTCATTCAGGTGGAGAACCAGACAGACGACCCCTTCCCTTGTACTGACTCTCTGAAGCACAGCGTCAACTTGAGCCACATGGCGGCATGGTGAGTCTACCTAGAGCCTTTCCTAGCAAGGGGGCGAGGAGAGGCAGGGAGGGGAAGGAGAGCAAGACCTGAGGAACACCAGGAGACTTCGGGCTTGCCACTGTCGCTGGCAGGAATGACGGAGGGAGGGAGAGGAGCCGGTAGGAATGTGTATTATTTGACCTAAAGAAACCAACAATGAGGCCATCTAGCTTTGGGTAAACTAATCTAGATTTTTCCATTGATATTTTCCCATTTTCAGGTTTATTTATCTAGGCCTGTGATTTTTTTTTTTTCCCACACCTGAATTTTAAAATGGAAGACTTGTTAAAGGACCAGAAGGAGCAACCTAAATTCAGGATCATACTGCTTAAAACAGGTTGCCTTGTTTCTTTAGAAGTGTTTGTGTATTTCTGTTTGGTGGGGTAAGGAGTATATTTACAATAATTTATTAGTAATAATGGTCTTGTCTTAAAAGGGGAAATCAAAGAGAAATAATCTCACAAGATCCAAAGGAATAATTCTTGAGTGATGACATTTTAGTCACCATTCCTGGTTAAAGAACAATTTGTGGCCCAGGAGAAAATGGAAATCAATCTGGACACCTAAAATTCCACCTGTTCAGTCCTGTCACCCATATCTGGTCCAGAATCACCCTGCACATAGTGCCTGAAATAGTTTTAATACTTATCAAAATTCCATAACCCCATACCCTCTGTAAAGAATAAAAAATGGCCTGAGTACTTAAAAACCAAATTTGAGAAACATTATGTTAAAGACTATAATTTAGCATCCAGTTAATTGAGTTAACGTCCTACTGATACATTTCTCACTTTCTTCTGTGACTCTCCGGAGATGATGACCTGTTTAACATGACAGTGAGATACTCATTCGGTTTGGTGTGACCAGCACTTGTGCAGTGCCAGTAGCACAGTGGATGCTCAATAAATGTTACTGTTCAAGTGAACTGCACTGCATTCAATTTCAGACGGTCTAGTGAAGTCAAAATAAATTCCTTTAAAAATAGTCCTCTATTCCAAGGCACACACCAGTCCACAAAGCTCAGTGTGTTCCAAAGAAACCCAGTTCTCTGCACATAAATAAAAGCTGCAGATGTTCACTCTTTTCGTGTAGATGACATGGCATCCGACCAGAAAGTCTTGGGTAGATGGTAAAATTCTAAGATGCTAATACAGATTACCTGGCCATCTAGAAACTAGCTATAATTAGGGGAGGTGCTGGCGTGGGAGAACATTTCCATCAGACAAAGGGACTCTGTCACTAGCCATATAACTTGCAAAAACAAACATTTTAGCTTAGCTTAAAAAAGAATGACTTAAGAGACTTATAAAAGGTATAGTATCTAGGTAGGAAACACAAAATCCCACTTCGGATGAGAACTGACAGTATCTTGTGGACACAGAATGTTAAAGAATATAATTTAGCAGCCTGGGTTTCCTGTCCTGTGGTGTCAGTGTGATCCTAGAAAAGTGTGAAAAATTGATCTTCACAGGATATATAAAGGGAAAATAACATAGAGGCCCTTACCTATCCTCTTAAATTATTAAAACAGAAAGAATGAAGGGTGAACAATAAAAGAAGAAATTTAGTTTATACACCATTGTGTCAGTGACTTGAAAATAGACAGGAGAGGCTAAAGCCAATTCTGTTGTTTTTATAACTGTAAGACTTTTTCCTTCATTTTTTTTTTTTTTTCCAGATTCCCATCTAGGAGAAAAGGAGAGGGGCTAGAATATTAAAACTAATTTGTGCTTGCAGTTAGCACACTAGCAATGAATATCTGTTTTCGTAGACTACATATATTGTTAAAAGACAGCAAAGGGGATTTTTTTTCTCCCACTCCACTCCTAAATATAACAGTGGTTAGAAAGAGTCAGGAATATTCCACAGCGCCCCCACCTACATTTCTTGTCTTAAAGCACCAGTAGTTCAGAAACAAAGGGCTGCATTTACCCTCATCAAACAATGCTGTTCACGTTTGACCAACCCTTCCTGGACTTGACTGTCTGACAGCAGCTCCTAGAAGGGGTTGTGGGGGAATCTCTGCTACTTTGCTTTCATTCTGTGGGCATAGCTTTCCATTAAAATAAAAGATCCAAAGATATTTGACTTTCTGAAATACCACAAATTACAAACTCCACAGTCATAATTAATATGTTTTAAAGTCTTTCAAAATGGAATAGTGAATATATTTTTATATAAGCCTAAAGTTATCATTTAGGACTAGATTGAAATTGAGATTTAAATAAATATGTTAAAAATGTTGAGGGATATTCAGAATTAAGAACTCATCAAAGTCATAGAACCAAATAGCTTAGGCACATTTTACATTTTATAATTGTTTACACCACTCCATTTTAGAGATTTCTGCCTTTTCTTTTCTTTTTTTAGGTAGAATTAAATCTACCTGCTTACAAATAACAAAGATAATGTACTTTCACAACTACAGTGGCAACAGTAACTTTATCTTTTCATCTTACTTAAAAAATATAAAGCACTTTAAAAACTTAGTTCCTACAAATAATTTTATTATTTTCCACTGGCAAGAACGCTGACACACAACTGATCAGATTTGTCTTTGGATTTAATACTGATGTCAGTGGCTCAGCATCACTTCAACTGCCCAGTCAATTATGATTCTGCCAATCCCAGCAGGAGCAATTATTTCATCATTGGAAAGGAACTTTAAAAAACAGAACAGGGAAGCTTTTTAAAAAGTCATCATAAAGATGCTTGAATATTTTTCAAATTGCATAAGAAGAAACAGGAACCTGTTTCACTTAAAAAGAGTTCAGTCTGATTGCCAGTGACACAACTTCCAGCAGTGGTTTGGCTCGTCACCAAGGGGCACACAGCTGCACTGGACAGACGGGGTGACTTCTTTTTCTGCCATACATAACAATGCTAAGTGGCATAAGAGTGCATACTGCCAAAAGTATTGTTACTATTTTTAAAATATGTGGTTGAATAGGAAAGCTTTAAATAGAATTCATACTTTCAAAATAACATTTTAATGAAACTCACTCTTGTACCATCAGAAAATAGAGCATTTTTGGGAGAAAACATTTAAGTTTTAAAGAGTCAGCTCAGTGAAACTGACACGACAACCTTCTTTTTGGAGATTGTGTATAACTGAACGGAAACCTGGAAAATGTTGCAGACTAAATGCATTGGGAATTTTGTTGTTGTTGGTTTTATTGTTGTGGTGTTACTATTTCCACTCACCAGCTCGAAGGGGTCGTGGAACTCCCCCAACAAAGATAGTTTTTCTGGGGTCCAAAGGCTGAGAACCATCCATTACAAAGTCACTGTCACTTAGGTTCCATGGTCGAATTTGCACCTGAAAAAAAGTTGTTTACTTGGTCCTTACTTCATTTCCATCAACCCCAAATGAGAATAAGGTGACTAAAGACAAACCCACTGATTTGTGCATTTTACAACATACACAACCCAAACAAAAAGCCAGTTATTACTTAATGTTATCTGCATTAAGTGCCTTTCAATAAAACTCTTGGGAAATCTACTTATAGGTACTATTCTCAACACTCGAGACATATACCATGAAAGCTTCAGAAACCACCTGTGGCTTAAAAAAAGCAGTCTTTCAGAGACAGAATCTGGCCTTTGAATCAGATCCGTTTTAGCACATGACTGACTGTTTATAACCTGTCACAGTACAACATTTGGCTTTTTTAAAAGTTTATGTAAAGGAAGGGACCAGAAACATTAGAAATATTTTCTAAAAATTATCTGTGTGTCTGGCTTTTAAATTCTTATTACCCCCTAAAATTAAAACATTGATCTTTCAGCAATATGATTTAACATAGATTAACACTCATCAAGTTAGCACGGAATTACCAGCGATATCAATAGTGAGGCACACAGAGTTATCTACTTTTGTGTTATCTGATTTTTCTAAACAAGTCTGGTTAAATAAAGGCAAGCCTAGAAACTGAAGTAAATTTTCAAAAAGCAGAAAAAGAAATCTTTATGACATATTTCTTTCTATTTGTTATATCTCTTTTTTTTTTTTTTTTTAATCCTCACCCGAGGATATTTTTCCATTTTTTTGTACAGATAGAGTGGGAGGGAGAGAGAGGAAGGGAGAGAGAGAGAAACATCGACGTGAAGGGACACATCGAGTGGCTGCCACCCGCACGACCAACCAGGGCCGGGGACAAACTGCAACCGAAGTACGTGCCCTTAGCGGGAACCGAACCCGGGTCTCTCCGGACCGCAGGCCGACGCTCTAACCGCTGAGCCAAACTGGCCAGGGCTATTTGTTATATCTCTTGAATGGGAATTTGACTTCCTGTCCATAGCTTGTACTGCTTTATCATACAATTAAAAAATCAGGTATTTCATCAGAATCTGAACATTAAAATATATTCCTTTTGCCCAGCCGGTATGGCCCAGTGGTTGAGCGTTGTCCCATGCACCAAGAAGTTGCCAGTTTGATTCCTGGTCAGGGCACATGTCCAGATTATAAGCCAAATCCCCAGTGGGGGGCATGCAGGAGGCAACCAATCGATGTTCTCTCTCATCGATGTTACTATCTCTCTCTCCCTCTCCTTTCCTCTCTCTCTAAAATCAAAAAGGAAAAAAAAAATATATTAAATAAACAAATAATAAAATAAAATATATTCCTTTCAATTCATAACTGAATTATCAAAGAAAAGCTTAAAACAAAACTATAGCACGGCCAGTGTGGTTCAGTGGACTGAGCATAGTCCCATGGACTGAGAGGTCCCGGTTTGATTCATGGTCAGGGCACACGCCCGGGTTTTGGGTTTGATCCTCCATGGGGGTGTACAGAAGGCAGCCAATGGATGTATCTCTCTCACATCGATGTTTTTATCTCTCTCCTTTCCTTTCTAATTTTTTTTTTCCTTTATTGATTTTAGAGAGAGAGGAAAGGAAAGGGAGAGATAGAAACATCGATGACAGAAAACATCAAATGGCCGCCTCCTGCATGCCCCCCACTGGGGATCGGGCCCACAACCTGGGCATGTGCCCTGACCAGGAATCGAACCTGCAACCTCTTGGTGCATGGGTCGATTCTCAACCACTGAGCCACACCGGCTGGGCTCTTCCTCTCTCTCTAAAATAAAAACAAAACCACAAAAAAATCCTCCCATACTGAAAGGCACATTTCGGTACTGCCTGAAAAAGATCCAGTCACATGTGTTCCAGGAAGTGGGCTAGGTGTAGAATTGGAGGAACTGGTGTCTGTCCTTAAGATCTTAATTTTGCCTCTCCTTTCCCTTCGTGGACTAGGCTAGGAAACAAAACAGATAAATTTTCATTTCCTTCATATCAACAAAATTCTTCATTTCCCTGTTGCTCAACTGTCAACAGTTAATGCAAGGAAACACATAAGAAAATTTCTTATGTGGCTTGGCTTATATCTAGGAGTACTCCCATTTGAAAGGTAGTAAATCTGCCAATTACACTTTCAAAACACTTTGAATGTCAACTCTAAAAATGGCATTGCTTAGAAACAGTCTACACATTCCTTATGATTGCTACAAAATTCACCCCCACGGAACTTTTTGCCTTTTGTGACACTGCTCCCTTCCCTACTTAGCCAGAACCCATAAAATCTCCATTTTTTCCTAGATCCTGAAAACTTGGATCTGTTTGCAGTTCTGTAAACATTCAGGCTTTGGCTCCACCTATATCGCATGGGGGGAAAAGATCCAGTTCTTCCTTGTAAATTTCGCCTGTTTGACTAAACTGTCATTCCCTTGACAAATATTTACCACAAAAGCAGATTCACCAATACCGTAAGACATCACGTTTAAATGCCTTCTTTCAGGGGATCAGTTCATAAGGTATATAAATGTCTAATCACTATGTGTACACCTAAAAATAATATAATACTGTGTGTCAATTGTAATTGAAAAATAAATTTAAAAATAATAAAAAGGAAGCAAAAAATGCTTTCATAATCACCCATTATTAATTTTTAATTAAAAACACAATTTTCAGGCACTGTAATGACAAGAATTTTAATGTCTCTAATAAAAACGCATAGAATGTATCTTTTCCTACTCATAGCCCTCTCTTTAGTCTTATCCTTAATAAAGTAAGGGCAGCTTCAGGACCTGGTAATTCCAATCACTTGATGATAATTGAGTTTGATCCTGGATCGCTTTGCTGCACAAATGAAAACAAGTCCTGTGTAGTATCCATACTGTTCTGGTTTCATTTAATCAGATAATAGAAAATGCAGTCTTCTGTAACAGCTGTAGGTTACTGCTGCTCAAAGGAACTCTACAGATCTCAAACTTCCTGCGGAGAGCTTCATTACTGCCCACCCCTACCCCCACTTCATTACATCACACACAACCCACTCCGTTACCCTATTCTTGGCATTACAGATTAGGTAAAAATACAGGAAGAGGTCTCCGGAGACAGTAATAATTAACCTTATTCATAAAACCCACATTTCCCAGTTGCCACCAGAAAACAGCTCCTCAGAGCTCCCACCACTACAGAATCTGAGAAATGTCCCTCCAGGCCAACTTCAGCATACTTTACACGCTAAGCAAAAAGTAATGTGTGGTCCTGTTTGCATGGAGACATTCCATTCACATTTTGGTCTCTCTCCAAAGTATAAGCAAGTCAGGTTCTCCATTTTCTAAGGTTTATTCTCAGGGCCTGACAGCTATATTCTATCTTCCTGACTTACTCTTTGAGTATATTTTCTGGTCCTTTAATATATTTTCCACAAACACATATGTTTCTCTACTTTTTATTTTATTTTATTTATTTATTTAAATCCTCACCCGAGGACATTTTTCCATTTTTTGTTCAGATAGAGCGGGAGGGAGAGAGAGGAAGAGAGAGAGAGAGAGAAACATCGATGTGAAGGGACACATCGAGTGGTTGCCACCCGCACGACCAACCAGGGCCGGGGACAAACTGCAACCGAGGTACGTGTCCTTAGCGAGCGGGAACCGAACCCGGGTCTCTCTGTACCGCAGGCCGACGCTCCAACCGCTGAGCCAAACCGGCCAGGGCTGTTTCTCTACTTTTTAAATACCATACTTTATAAGTCGACACACGCACACGCGTCGTTTCAACCATTTTGTAGAAAGGGGTAGAACATAAATAAAAGAACAACTTTCTGATTATCTGTGTTTCTTTAATAATTAGTTTTGAGAATGGATGAAATTAGTACTGTGTCCTAATTCAATATAAATTTACATATACGGGGTGTGTGTGTGTGCGTGTGCGTGTGTCAACTCTTCCAGTATGTTGTCAAATAGGCTACTGTAGGTTATACTCTCGGCAGGAAAAGCCAACATTCATAGGACAAATATAGGGATGTCACCAGAAACAGTGAAGATTCTGGTGAATGAGCCTGACACTGATTCCAAGAGCGATTCTCCTTCCTGGAGAAACGTGACCACATTTGCTTATAAAGGGAGCTGGAGGAGGAGGCACCACCCACCCACCAGCTCTTCAGCCGTGCCCTGTCCTTCCAGCAGGGGTTACACCAACCAAATGTCTGCAGGGCCAGGCAGGTAGCATAAATGTGTCAAGCCACCAGGACAATAGCAGGCAGGCAATGACACACTGGATAAATCACTGCTTTTAAAGAAAGCAGACACTTCCCAGCTCCAGCAAGTAGATATCGTTAGCGAATGTGCTGTCAGACTTTCCCATTTTTCGAGAGTAGCTAGATTTTTATGTGAAACTTCAAGATTTTAAAATGTTGGGAACTAATTTATATGTTCAAATCACTGTACAGACTAAATAACACTATCTACAGGCCAGGCTTTCCTGTGGGCCCGCCTGTGATCTCTGGCTAGAAAGGTACCGTGACTACATGGCTCACAGTGGAATGTCGTGTTCCACATGCACTTCTGAGAGAAAACACAAAATGGCTTTCCTTTTGTTTCTTTTTAAAGCATGTAATCCTACTGAAGCTCTGGTTAGGACCATGAAACCTACTTCTGGCTGAATTACTTGTCTTCTAAATTCTAATCTCCCGAATTAATAGTCTGCTTTGTATAACTTCTTATCTCCAAAGGCAAATCCTTTTAAGGATAAAGTAAAAACCAAACATAAAGCTTGGCTGTGTAAATTATCAATTTATACCACATAAGTGACTTTAACAGTATTCAGGAAATCCTAAAGAATAGAACACTGGTAATATCAATAGTTAGTACTGAAAACACTAGTTTTCCTGATTTCAAGGTTTCCCAAAGTGTGTTCTGTGAAGTGTAGGTCCCTAGGGTTGTTTGCCAGACAAGCAGAGTTTGGGAAAAGTTATAAACTATCTCTTTCTTCTTGGAGTTTCACAGCACATATTAGTATATATTAATAAAA